TTTAAAAATAATAGCTGGTAAATGAAATTAATTCAATATTTCCTACATAGAGGTAGCTATATCTCAGTAGGTGATCTCATTTGGCTACTTATTCCAGAAGTTTGACCTCAGCCAATGTAGCACTCTCAGTTTGCCCTTTTCTCATCTTAAGTCACTTCTTTCCTCTTTCACACGTGCTGGTTTGGAGGACATTCTTTTGAACCATACCAGTGCTCCTTACCTCATGTTCCATTCTCCCCTGGGATAGTTTTCTGTTATTGGTCAGGTGTCTTTTGTGTCCCCACCTCTTATTGGTGGAAGAGGAGCTCTTGGGGTGCCACAGGAATAAGAATTTTCTGAGGCCCCCACAGGAAGATGAAGTATCATGGAAAGCTTTATTGTTAATGAGACAAAAACAAAACTTTATTGTTAAGGTAGTTCCCTCCAAGGATCCATCTCCCTCCATCTCGCCATGGAAGAAGTCCCATCTTGTCTCCAATGGGGCTACAATTAGAGCCACTGCCCTGAGTCTTTGCTCCATGTTAAAGCACAGTCCAGTCCAGCATCTGGCTAGCTTAGCTTGTGTTCCCAGCTGCAGTCCATTGTGTATGGGGTCTTCATGGCCCTGGGCTATGTGGCTTCTAGGGCCACATGGCAGGCTAGTGTGGATCACAGCCCAAGCGAGTACAGGAAGCAGGAGTGCAGTAAGAGTAACAAGAGAAAGAAAGTTCAGGAGCTTAACCAATGAATCCTTTAGGATTTCATGCACTTGCAGTGACTCCACCTCTATAGCCAACCCATGGTTCCCCAGGCTAGAGTGACAAACAAGCACCTTCCCTCTGTCTCCCCGACTTCATTGCACATTTCCACATCTTCCCCTTTGTTTGATCCCTTTCCCCAGTGATCTGTAGGGATTGGACAGGTGGCTCCCTGGGAGTGTAAAGTTGTGGCTCCCTGGTGAAGCTGTCCATATGAACATGCTTATAATATACTAGAGGCCCAGTGCACAGCATTTGTGCACTGGAGGAATAAGGGGAGGCAACACACACTTCAGACCAGGCTACGCCCTTTCACCATCTAGTAGCCCTTGGGGGATGTCCAACTGCAGCTTAGGCTTGCTCCCCACCAGGAGCGCACTAACCACAGGAAGGAGCGGGGTGGGAGGGAGGAGAAGGGAGGGGCAGACAGTTCCTGTGTTGAGTCTCTGCCCCCTGGTGGTCAGTGTACATCATAGTGACCAGTCTTCTGCCATTTAGTTGATTTGCATATTACCCTTTTATTACATAGGATGGCCTCCCCTTAGCTTTCTTCCCATATTAATATTAGCTAGCTAGTTATGATGGTAGCATTTTTATCACTTCTCAAATCACCCTTATATCATCTTTCCTTGTCCTACCAACAATCACAGCTATCCTCTGTCGTTTTACACCTTCAATTACTTAAGAAAGTCTTTTCAAAAAAGAATGCTCTGTTCTCCACCTCATTTACCTTAACCCTATGAATATGGCCTTCTGTCTCTACCACTCCTAAAGGCACTATTCTGAAATAACCATTGGCATCCTGATGCCAACTCTGGTGGCCTTTCAACCATAACCTCATTAAGTTCATCAGTATCTGATGGAAGCTCTCTCCTCTCATGGTTTCTAAGACCAGTGTTGTTGTCCTGATTTTGCTATTTTTATATTCCTTTTCTGTATCCTATCAATGATTCTTCACCTAGCCTTCCCTAAGTATAGAGCACCTTCAATTTTCCATGTTTCTATATTTAGAATCCTCTTTGTTTCCCCTCTCTCTTCCATTCCCTGTTAGTGCAACCTCTTCACAGTTTACTTACCAACTTTATAAGGATAACTATCAGATTCACTTGTCTGATACTAACTTATTCAGAGATGCTGACCAGCACTTCCAAGTGGCTTCTGAAGATCTTTATTCACTTACTCACTCACTGGTTCACTTACATTCATTGAGAACCTAACAAAATGTAGCTACCTTTCTAGAGCTGTGGAGATAGCAATGAACAAAACTAAGTCCCTGTTCCACAGAGCTTACATTCTAGGGAAAGAAGGAAGTGTTAACAAATTTTAAAAGGTGTCAGATAAAAGTAAATGCTGTAGAGAAAACCAAATCAAATAAGAAAATAGATAGTGGTGGGAAATGTGGTGACTAGTTTAGGCTGCATAATCTGTAAAGTCTCTATAAAATGCCACTTGAACAGGAATCTGAAGGAAGTGAGAATGCAAGATGATTTGCTTTTAATTATGTTGATCAATTTCATTGTACATTCCTTAATTTGGCTTCATTTGTTGCACAGGAATCCTATTACATTTCTTCAGAAAATTTCCTTTTGAATTCTTCTAGATGATTGTTTTTCAAACTATAGAATGCAATCCATCAGTATGTCATGGAATTTAGCAAGTCACTATCCACTTTTTGTTAATACAATAGAAGTGAAAGTAAGTGAAATAACAGTATTGTTTCCTGAAATCCTTGGGGTGTGTGTGTGTGTGTGTGTGTGTGTGTGTGTGTGTGTTCTTATATTTATATCCTGGATAGTAATAATTCTTATGCTGTGTTGCTATAAAAAAATTCAATAATCATTATCCTGAATAATTATTTTATAAATTTTCATCTCAAATCTCCTAATCTCCTCCCCCTCTTACTGTCAGTTGATAATACCTTTATTTAATTAAGAGTGTGGAAGTAATCACAGAACTTTACACTTTCTTATCACTGAATGGTGAATTTCTGGCCACATCATTATTTGTTTCACAAAGTCATATTTAATGTCTGCAGAGTGTTCCATGCATAATACTTGAATCTAAACCATGTTGTTGAGTTTGTGCAGTCATGTGAATGTGCCTCTTAGATCTGGGACTACAGGGAGCAAATTTGCCAGCTGCTGTGCTCTAAAAGCAATTTGTCTCTCGGTTTGTTGCAAAGTTGCATTTCATAGGGATCATTCCCAGTGAATAACGGAGCCCTGGAAATGTGCTTAATCAGGCCCATTTCTTGGAGATTTGTGATTCCTCTGAGAAGCAACTTTGCCTAGAGGTCTCCCAGACACCCTTGCAGACTTGCAGAACTTTCCTTAGACCAATGCACAACTTTTCCTTTTTTCCTTCTCTCATGATTAGGCTTGCATGGAGTCTTGAAGACTCTCCCTGCTCCTTGCAGTTCTTTTTCCATTTTCTCTCAAGGGCCTTTATGTTTTCACTAATACATTTCTTGAGCCCTTATCCCTTCTTGACATTTGTTTCTTGTAGGACCCAAACTAACAGACTTTTAGGTTTTCCGCATATTTTTATTCAGTACAACTAAATTTTTGATTGCTCATCTCTTAGCACAGCTTTCTTCTACTGAAAGCCCTTCAAATCACTGCCATTGCTCATTAAATTAAGCTTAACCCCTCCTTCTCACATCCACACTCCACTCCAGCCCATTTCCAAACATCATCCAATGCTCTTAGTCTAGTCTTAGGTGTCCTAACTGGATATTCTCATACTCTTTTTATCATACCATCTTGTCCCATTCCCCCAAGAAAACATCTGCCCAGCAGATGCATCAATCATTCTAGATCCCTTCTTGACTTCTATCCTATGATGGTTTTTTTGTTTCTATTTTAAAGGCCATAGAAATGTGTTTTCTGCAGTGTTGTTGCTCTTTTGGGGATGTTAAACGGAAGGCTATATAGCCCAGTGGTGAAATGCAAGTCTGAAATTAGACAGATCTAGATATCTATATCTATATCTATATCTATATCTATATCTATATCTATATCTATATCTATATCCATATCCATATCCATATCTATATCTATATCCATATCCATATCCATATCCATATCCATATCTACATCTACATCTATATCTATATCCATATCCATATCCATATCCATATCTATATCTATATCTATATCTATATCTATATCTATATCTATATCATATATATATATATATATATATATATATATATATATATATATATGTATGTATATATATGAGCAGTCAACCAGTTGCTGTGATGCACACTGACCACCAGGGAACAGATGTTCAATGCAGGAGCTGCCCCCTGGTGGTCAGTGCGCTCCCACAACCAACCTCCCATGGTCCCAAGCCAGCCAACTTCCTGCAGTCCCTCCCCCTGGGATCAGCTCCTTTGGGACTTGGGGAGATGGCCCTGATGGCCCTAATCGCCAGCCTGGCTGAGGAACCTCACCCGTGCAGGAATTTGTGCAGTGAGCCTCTAGTATTACCATAAAAAAAGTAAAAACAAAACAAACAAACAAAAAAACCTAGCTGAGATCGGATATCTTTGGGAAACATTAAGCTAAACAAAAATAATCAAAGATTTTTTTTCTTTTTTGCTTTGTTTTGTTTTTAATTGCAAGACTTCCCAGAGCCCTTAAAATGCTAACATACACTGTGACTTTCTAAGGCCAGCACTGATATCTTATGTAGCTTGTCTTAAATTTATTTGATCACAAAATCTTTTTAAAAAACAGATCATTTCCAGATATTACTGGTTTTTGAGACACACTTTGGAAAGAAGTAAATGTTGTCATATAATTTTGCATGTCTGATTTTGACAGTACTATATGCATTCTTCATCTTGTTATAGCTATTGGTATATTTATCTTACACATTTTCTCACTTTAGCATAAAGTCTTGAAAATAACAGGCGTTTGTTGAGTTGAAAATCACCAACATTTAGTGAAGATCCATGGTCTGGAATATATTTGGTAACTGAAGAAATTTAGTTTTTACATCTACTTTTAGTAACTTTTTTGCAATCTTTTTTATAGCATAGTATCCTGGGCTTTTTTTCCGGCTGGGAAAAGTGCTGGGCATAAAGCCTTGTGAATATGGGCTAACTTCATTTTCTCTGCAAATCACTTTATTAGAGGAACAGTAAAACAAACAGAGGAATATAAAGGTGTAAGTGCCTTTTAAGGGCAAGAAAGCAGGCGACAGTTGATTCTGGGTCCCGGCACACCCTGGGTGGTGGGGAAGGCAGCCTGTGGCTTAGTTGTGATTGTTTCCATTTCCAAGGGTAAGTTTGTCAAAAAGGTACTCTGCCAGGCCGCAAGCTGGGGCCCCCATCTTAATCAAGTTGTGCACGTGATCACCTAGTTCTTTGATAGACTTCACCTGATCATTTAGATAGTGAGTTTCTAGGAAGTCGCACAAATGGGGGTCTCCTTTCTCTGAGGCCAGAGAGTGCAATTCCAGCAATGACTGGTTCACCTTCTTCTCCAAGAGCAGAGCACACTCCATGGCGTTCAGCCCGCTCTTCCAGTCGTCCGTGTCCGGTTTCTTGATGTCCTGCAGGTTGATCCTGCCTCCCCGCTGGTTCTGCAGCCTCATCAGTATCTCTGCGTGCTGGGTCTCCTCCCGGGACAGGCGAAGGAAGTAGCCAGCGAAGTTGTTCAAGGCCACGTCGTCCCTGGAGAAGTAGAAGGCCATGGACAAGTACGCGTAGGACGCGTAGAGCTCGAGGTTGATCTGGCGGTTGATGGCGGCCTCAGAGTCCGGGTGTAAGTTCTGGCGTATCCTGGAGGGGACAGAGGCGGACCCGAACATGGAGGAGGCGGCTGCTGCCCGGGGTCGGAGGGGAGCTGCGGGCCTCGGAACCCAGGGGCTCCTGGTGGCCCAGCGCCGCGGGAGGGCGAAGCCAAGGCGCGCGCTGCGCAGGGACACCAGCGACGCGCTGATATGCTTGGAAAGGAACAGGACGCAGGACAGCATGGCCTCTCCTCTTCAGAAGCGTGGTCAGGCTTTGGGGCGTCAGGTGTGAGTCAGAACTGGGCCCTAGGCGACTGCGGCTGCGTCACACGCCCCCCTTTCTTCCAGGGGCGCCCAGGAGTTCCACGCGGGCGGCCGAGGTGGCGCGCGCCTGTCGCGGGTGTGGGCACAGGTGGCAGTGACACGGTTCCACTGATCTGTTCTCTCTATCTATCGTAGGCACAAGGTTTCTGCTCTTGAATGTTTGTAATGTATTATTTAACCTAAATTAAGAATGCTGTCCAAAAAGTAGCCGCCTGTACTTGGGGAAGAAGGACTGAGCCAAGCCCTGCTTTGCCCTCCCTCCCTGAGCTTTTTCTGTCCCAGGGCTATGGATGGGAGGCAAACCTGAGAAACAGGATAAAACAAAAGTCACTACCAGTTTCTCTCAGAGTAACAGCCCCTTCCCAAAGCGAGTGTTTATAAATTGACTTTGTGATTATTTTTAACAAATTTAAGTGTGGAAATAATTATCGTCCGTGGCCCAGTGACTGTGTTGGAGTGTTGTCCTGTACACCAAAAGGTTGAAGGTTGGATTCCTGGTCAGGACGCATAAGGGAGGCAACCCACAGATATTCTCTCTCTCTCTCTCTCTCTCTCTCTCTCTCACTCACTCACTCACTCACTCACTCAAGGAAAACATATACTCTAGGGAGGATTAAGAAATAAAAATAAAATGACTTTAAAAAGTATATATATTACAGTATATTGAGAAACTCACAGAAGAAAATTCAAGATATTCCTATTCTTTCTTTACTCAGAGACAACCATTGTTAAAATGTTGGTGGTAATTCTCACAGATATAAAAAAAAACATTAAAAATATATATCACAGACACACAAAAGTAGAAATATGCTTTTTTTATTGGCTTTATAGTGTGGTATAATTGACACAGTAAATGAACAACAGATACACCTTGATGGGGTTTGACATATTAAGACATCTGTGACACCATCACCAAAATCAAGATAATGAAAGCATCGCCTCCCAAAGTTTCCTCATGCCCCTTTGTATTTTGTAATTTCCTTTGTGCAGCTCTCTGCTCCACGTCATTCCCGGCACCCACTGATCTGTTTTTCCTCACTAGATAGATAAGTTTGCATTTTCTAGAATTTTATATAAATGGAATCAGTATGGGTTTGTTTGTTTGTTTGGCTAGGTTTCTTTCACTCAGCATAATTGTTTTGAGAATTCACCCATGTTGTATCAATCCTTTTTATGGCTGGGAAATATTCCATTGTGTGGATATAGCAAATTTGTTTAACCTTTCACCTGCTGATGTTCATTGTGATTGTTTACAGTTTTGCTATTAAAATAAAGCTACTATGAACATTCCTATACAAGTCCTTGTGTATTTTCATGTATAAGTCTTAAGTTTTAGCCACTCTAACTGGTATTTCCTTTTAAATTTGCATTGCCAGAATAATTCATGATGCTGAGTATATTTTCACATACTTCTTTGCCAACCGTATATCTTTGGTGTAGTGTATGTTCAAATATTTTGCCCATTTATATGTTGAATCATTTCTTTTCTTGTGGTTGTTTGATTTCTTGTAGTTAATATCTTGATCTTTGCTATTATTATTGCTTCTATTCAGCTCTTCTTATATTATCTGCATCTTACTTCCTCTATGTTATTTTCTTTTATTTCCTTGGGGCAGTCCAATTACCTTTCTAGATCAGTTTCCTCACCTGGAAATTTAGGATCCTACCTACTTCCAGGAGGTGATTGAAAAGGTTAAGAGAATGTTTATAGAGTACTTATCATAGTGCCTGACACAGAATTGACTCAAAATATTCTTTAATAGTTTTTACTGGATAATTTCTATTTAATTATTCAAAACCAATTATTTTATATTATTCAGCAAACAATACTTATATTATTGCACATGGAAAAAACCTAAACAGCTTATAACAGTGCTTAAATGTATGTATTGTTGTTATTATGTATGAGTAGTGAGGTAGAAATCTTTTTATTATATGGACAAATCAAACTTGTAGTTTTGTAGTAAGCTCCTTAGTCTCAAATGAGCATCTTAAAGTGTGCCATAAATAAAGGTAGATGCCTAAGATCTGGTTGTACTTAAATTCTGCTCATAGAATGTGATTGATATTCACCAAACAATTTCTCATGATTTTCTGCTTCTGTATACCCATTTTTTTTTTCTTTTATTTCCCCAAAACTTTTGCTATACCTAAAATGTAGTTCCCTAAAGACAGGTTATGAAAATGATTCTTTAGAGTGGTATTAAATGCCAACTGCTGCTACTAGTGTTTTAGGAGAAATGATGCTCTTTATATAAATGCTTATATGCAAGGTAATAAAAAGCATAGATATAAAACCAATGCAAACCATGAAATGTAATGCAAAACAATGCCATAAAACACAATACACATTTAGATAACCCATGTTAGTTTGTAAAAAATGTTTCTTCTTCCCATTACAGTGTTTATCATATAATTTGCTGGACTTCAAAAATGCAAGGATCTGGTAGGTATTATTTTTATCCTTTGGACATTTTGATTCCTAATATTCATAGTAAAATTAATGCTGTTCTGCCAAAAATACAAACCTGGACCATCACCCACATTCCTCACAACTCATTTCCTCCTCAGTTTGTTTTTTTTAAATAATCTTTATTGTTGAAAGTATTACAGTTGTTCCCTCCCCCCTTTCCCTCCATTGACACCTTTCTCCCTCTCCCCAGCCTCTCCCCAGGCCTTCTCTGCTCTATTGCCTGTGTCCATGGGTTATTCATATTATATAATAAAAAGCTAATATGCTAAGTAGACCAAACAGCTGAATGACCTTCTGGACATCATTCCAGACAAAGCTGCAGCAGCAGAGGCTGAGGCAGAGGTAGTTAGGCACGATCAGGAAGGCAGGCAGGCAGGCAGAGGCATTTGGCGTTATCAGGCAGGCAGGCCAGGAGTTAGGAGCCAGTGGTCCCAGATGGCAGGGATCTAACCTAAACTGGCAGTCAGACAGTCCCCGAGGGGTCCTGGATTGCAAGAGGATGTAGGCCAAGCTGAGGGACCCTCCCCCACTCCCCCCGCAGCCCTATGCATGAATTTTGTGCACCAAGCCTCTAGTGTGCATATACATTGGTTAATCTCTTCCCTCTGAGATTTGTCCATCTGCTGCATGCTTCCATGTTTCTGGATCTATTTTCTTCATCAGTTTATTTTGTTCATTAGATTCCACATATAAGTAAGATCCTGTGATATTTGTCTTTCTCTGACTGGCTTTTTTGCTTAGCATAATAATTTCAATTCTTTATTATTTAAAAAGATGTTTTAATTCTTACCTGAGGATATGTTTTTATTGATTTTTAGAGAGAAAGGAAGAGAGAAAGAGGGAGAGAAACAATTTTAATGACTTTTTCTCTTCCCTGTATGCCTCTCTTAGCTTTTATGATTCTCTGGGGTTCACTTCACTTCCTCATAAAATTCATCTTTAATGGTCCCATCAAATATATTATCTACTCTGTAAGGTCTTATATAACCTCATTTGGAAATCCCTTACTTTTTTGTTGTTGTTGTCTAAGTACTTTGTTTATACTGAGAAAATATCATGTTATAAGTGTGTGTGTGTGTGTGTGTGTGTGTGTGTGTGTGTGTGTGTCCTTTAAAACAGAGATGTCATCTAATTTCATTGATTTTGGATATGAGCGAATTGCTCTTATATTGGTATTTATTTTTAAGAGCAATTTATTAATTTATTTTTAATTTTCACCCAATGAGTGAGGATATTTTTCCTATTGATATTTTAGAGAGAGTGGGAGGGAGGGAGTTGAGGGGACAGGAGGAGAAACAGAGAAACATCCATGTGAGAGAGACACATTGATTGGTTGCTTCTCACTCGTGCCCCAACCAGGGCCAGGGATTGAACCTGCAACTGAGGTACATGCCCTTGATTTGGCTGCAAGATGGACAGTATATAATTTGCAACTTAGGATAGAATTGATTTGAATTGGGTCAAGGTTTGAATCTGTTTTATAGCTCTACAGAATATAATGAGTGTTGATGTCCTTGCTTGCTTTAATATGTTATAGTTTAAAACCTTATGAAATAATAAAATGCATAAAACATGCATGTGATGGCCTGTATGTATGCTTGGAGTAGCTTCCAGGATGCTGCTTCCACCAAAGCTGTGGTTTGCCCTGCTACTCAAGTTATGTAACATGGGGTTCTTTCAGTCAGTGGGTTAGACATAGAAGTGAAAGGGTCAATCAATTTTATTTTTTTTCAGAGTGTTTCCGAGGCCAGTTCAATTAACTAGAGTCTGCTAATACTATTTAGTGACCACCATATCTTGGAGCAGTAAATCAATCCTTAGGACCTTATAAATGAATCTTTTCTCAAGAATCTTATTAAAAAACCTTATGACTTAGCAACCCCACTTTGAGAAACTCATTATGTGGAAAAATGCGGTGCATAAAAAGTACATAAATAAGAACTTTAATTTCATTGCAGTGCTGTACATAAAAATAAAAAGCTGAAAGTAAACTGTCTCTCCTTGGAGTATTAATAAATTACTAGAGAGTTATAAAATGGAATATCATACAGTCCTTAATAGGATAAAGTGGTGTTCTCTTTGTGGCAATATGGAGATCTATTTATAAGGTATTTTAAATGGAGAAGCTGTGTGTGTGTGTGTGTGTGTGTGTGTATACACAATCCTATATTTGGAGGGATCAAAAAAGTGTACATGAAAATGTATACACACAGAAGCACACATGAAGAAGAGGAAGCAAAACATTTCTAAATAGCAGACTGTCAGAAAACTTGCACCAGCAGGCACCTATACCATAGTAACATCCGACCATTGCCAAGTGGATAGATTGGAAGAGAGAAAGATGAGGATTTAATTTTGTTACACATTTTAAAATAACTTCATTAAGAGCAATTTCAGTTAACCACTATTTAAACTTTTTTTTAATTAAAAAATATAAAAAGAGGTT